GAGGCGGATGTGGTAGGGTACATCGTACTCTCGCATGTCCACAATGTTGTCCAGTTGGTCAGCGGTCTTCTTAGAGGTTTCTTCTTCATCCACAATCACACTGCCCCGCTGCAGAACACTGCAAAATAGAGAACAGCTTACTCAGCTACACCCCCTGAGGACTGGGGTGGAGAGAGCACAGCCTACGGGGAGTAAATACGAAAGTTAAACCAAGGTGGCTGAGGACCAGGATGGGCCCTTCTTACGGGTGACCCTGGAGGACACCTTTGCCGAGCAGCAGGCACAGACACACGGAAGTTCAACGCACACTCAGAACATGTGCACTTTACAGGAGACGGGCTATTCCTCCATTAAAAGAATAAAGAGGCCCCGGCTGGTGTAGCTCAGTGGATTGAGCACGGGCCTGCGAACCAGACAATCGCGGTTCGATTCCCAGTCAGGGCACATGCCTGGGTTGCAGACCAGTTCCTTGCAGACCAATTCCCAGCAGGGGACGCATGAAAGGCAACCATACATTGATGTTTCTCTCCCTCTTTCCTTCCCTTCCCCTCTAAAGATAAATAAATAAAATATTAAAAAAAAAAAAAGAATAAAGAGGAAACTCAGTTGGGAGGCACATCTACAAGTGTGACCTGCCCTCACTGAGCCAGTTTCTTCATCAAGAAAAAGCAGGAGTGTTGTGACGTAAGTTACAAGGCTCTCAGAAAGGTCAAGTGACAGGTAAGTGGTAACTGTTTCTATTACCATTTCTACTCCGACCATATTCAAGCAGAAAATCATTGTCAGTAGTATATTCACTCCAATATTAATCCACTAAACTTCAAAATATGGGAATGGACTATTAAGGGGGAGAAAGACAGTGATTTTTAGAGAAGGCTCGGGCCTCTGGGGCCTTGGTCTCTGGTTACGCCCTACAATATTCTAAAAAGTAATTTATGGGCCACTGAAGGGGTGCGGGGCATTCGCAGAAATGTTTGGTATCCCAAATTGATCTTCTCTTGTCAGAGAGTACAGTTCGTTCTCCTGTTAATGTGCCAAGACTTCCTCTCCTTAACTTCTTCCCCTGCTCCCTATTACTGTTGTCTAAAGGTCTGCAAACAGTGTTTGGTGCAGAGAATATGGAATTTCTCTGCATAATGCCCAGGGTTTTCTGGAGAAGATGTGTTATGTAAATCTAGGCACTTAATAAAATGTGTAGACAGCTTAATACTTGCCATAAATTATGAAAACAGAATGTGTTAAGGAGATGGGATTAGAACTCTAAAATGCCTTTAGTTATAACTCAATTTTAGAGTTGCAAATCCAACCCATGTAAGAAAAGAGAGACATCCAAAATATAAAATACAACATGGAAATCACCATTTATTTCACACAAATGGAGCATATAAGAAATTCTATTTAATTGCTCCAAAGTGTTTCCACATTGAATAGAGCCAATCATTAAGGTCACTTAATTGCTGAGTTTTCCAACCTCCTATCCGTGTTGTCAATGTAGAAAAAATGGGAAAGTCCTGATGATTGACTGGCTGCTCTGCCTGCGAGAGCGAAGCCTACCTGGAGAGCATAGCTGTGTAGGCCTCACTGGCGTGGCCCTGCTCCCGGTTCTTTCTCACGGCAGGTGCAATCTCCTTCCTCACTCTGACGAGGTCCTCCACAGTGTGGAAGGACAGCTTAATGTAATTTCGCTTCAAGCCCACCAAGTGATTTGGCTTCAGAGTGAAGAGACCATGCAAGAGAGAAAAAATTTTATTAGAAAAAGAAAATAAAGGCAGAGTGATTCAAAGGTAGGTGTGTTTGTCAAACAGCTGGCAACAGCAAAGCACCTTGTCTACTGTTGCACGTGGCACCAAATATGCCCCCGAATTCTCTCAAGAGGACATCCGTCATCAAGGCCCCATCCCCACCTCCCCGACCCACAGAGGCTGAGCCTGGCCTCTTGCCATGATACTCCTGGCAGAGTGGACCCAGCTTCACAAACCCTGAAAGGTAGGAGTGACACTCACCAAGTCCAGATCCTCTTTGGGGACAGTCTCTACTTTAGCAATTTTACCCTGAAACTTCTTGGAGAGAAAAGCTGAAACTTCTCGCTCACAACCCTAAATCAGGATCAGAATGAAAGAACCTTCCATCAGTAAAATGATTCCCACCCTGCTGTTTCTCTAGAGGCCTCTTTATTTTCAGTTCTGATGCACTCCCCACCCTGAAAAAGGAGGCACAGTTCATCTGAACTGATTCTGTGAAGCACCGACTTACCTTTCTGGTTGCAATGTAGAAATATGGCTTGTAGGGCAACGCCACCTGTAAGAGTCACCAACCCATTCAGGAACAATGAGAAAGGAAAGGGGAGAATGGAGAAGACAGGCTGCTTATATCTGTGAGCAACCCAAACCCACCGACACCTTTGAACTTGACCTCTTGAGAGATGAGGCAACAGGGATTGATTCAGGGTCTGCACACACCACAGGGCAAGGGTTTAAGGGACAGGACACTGCCCATCTGTCAGTCTTTCCCAGCCAGTTCTGTCAGCACACCCTAAGTGGTAACTAATGTGCTCCTAGCATGTTCCCAATGGGCTCCTGACAGCTATACACCGGAAGCTTCCCAAGCTCTTCCTATAGCTGTAGAGCTACATGATCACTTGTCATTCTGGGCTCAGCTGAGCCTCATCACTGAGTGAGTTTTACCTCTTGGGGTTCAGGGACTTACCTTAAATCTACTTCCGTCATCTTGAATAAAGTAGTAATCCACTGCACTGATTAGGCGTTTATCTTCGTCTAAAACCTCAGTCTACAAGGGAGTTAGTCAATGTGGGCATTAGGTTACCCTCTACAAGGTGCCTTCCTCTGCTTTGAAAACAAACCTTTCCCCACCCCTGCATCAACACCATCAGCCCCATTCACAAAACCCCTATAACAGCTTCCAGGCAGGAATTTCTCACAGTTTGTCTTCATTCTTAAAAGCTATATTCTTATACATAATAGAGATACTGCCCCCCCCCCCCAGTCTTCTCAATGTCTTCTATGGCCCAACCTGTTAAAAAGTATAACTACAAACAAGCCCATCTCCACCTGTGCCACCACAGCGGGGTGTGGAGGAGCAGGGGGAGGAAAAGCCCAGGAGCTTACGGGGTGCATGTTGATGAGCCAGCCAGTCTTCTCCCCTGGTTCCTTGAGCCTCTCAAATCCGAACCTCGAATCCATCTTATCCGTCCACTGACTGCGCTCCAGGCGCTTGAGTGCGGAGACAGAGGAAGTGGGGCCATCATCCCTGAGTAAAAGAAGGGAAATTCAGTCCTCACTTCCCACGATGCTCTCCACCCCACAACCCTCAGATCGTCAGGGGAGGGAGTTTCAGCTGTGACACGATAGACGCATCCCTGAAAAAAACCTCACGGCAAGCAAAACAACTCATTGAAATAACGAGTCACGGGAAAAACATGAGTGGGGCAGGCAGGACGTTCAACAGCTGTTCATCTCTGTGAGCAAAACACTAATAACAATGACCACGGCTGGACACTACTACCTTCTGGGATATCAAAAGTGCAGGAAGCCTAGCACTGCACTCCTGGCCATTCATCCTAGAGACAGGCAAACTCAAAACTGTCAAAAACCTCTATGTGACCAGCAACTTTATTCACTTTGGCCAGAAAGTGGAAACGACCCAGACATGTGCAATCCGTGGAATACTACTCACCAATAAACCGGAACAGACTCAGTGGTACTTGCAACAACTAAGAGAGACCGCATGGGAATTAGGATGAGCGAAAAAACCCAACTCCCCTGCAAGTCACACGTTTTATGAATCCACTTATATGGAGTAGAGATGGTGAACGGTGAACGATGTGGACCCCCCCCCCCCGCCGTTTGGCCCTGGTTGTGAGCAGAGCTAACGCACACGTGCACAGGAGCTGGTGCTCTGGGGACGCAGGACGCCCTCCCCCGGGAGCCCGGAGGAGAGGGGTAAGGCATCTCCGCACTGAGGATCTACGGTGACCCCCAAATAAAGAGTCGTTTGTTTTTTGACTTTGCTTTTAAAGGGTTTGCTCCCTTGTCGGTGTGCTTCTTGGTGCAGAGGTCCTCACAGGGTCCGCTACGGCACTTCTGCCTGTCCCCGGAGACCCTGCCTGGGAGGGTCTCCGCCCCCGACCTCCGCCGCGCCGCCTGCCTCTGCCCGGTGCAGACTCCGTCAGGTCAGCAGATTCGGAAAGGCTTTCGTACGTTTTTCCAAAAGAAAGAGAGCTGCAAAGCTAGCGGCCCAGTACAGCGATTTTTTAAAAAGCAAGAACCGTGACACCGGGTTCTCTGGACCAGGAGGGCGCCCAACCCGCGGCGCGGCGCAGCCGGCTCCGGGACCGCCCCCTGCGCTCCGACGCGCCCCCACCCGCTGGGCCTGCGGAACGGGGACTCGCAGGCCTGGCCCGACTGTAAGGGGACTGCAGGGGACGGCGGCTGCCCAGGACTCGGCACCTCCCTGTCGCTGGGGCGGCTCCCGAGGAGACAGCGCTGGTTCCGCTCGGGGACCCGCGCGCCCCGCCCCGTCTTCACCGCAGCTCCAGCTGCGGGGAGTGGACAACCGCGGGGCCAGGGCAGACGAGAGCTCTGCACCCGCCGCCTCCTCAGCGTGAGCCCAGAGCCCCGCAGGGAGGAAGGGCCCGAGCTCGCCCGCGGCGCTTCTCACCGGCTGGCCTCGCCGTCCGCGCCCGGCTCCGCGTACCGCCGTCCGCTGTTCCTCAGCACCATCGCAAAGCCACTGCTGCCCCAGAGAAATTTGGCGCCCTCCCACCAATTCTCGCGAGAGACAAGAAGTGCCCTGCCGCCCAATCAGGAGACTCGTCCCGCCCCATCCCCCGAGCTCCAATCGCCGCCAGCGCCCGAGGGGGAGATGGCTCGTTAGGGACCCGGGGAAAAGTGTGCGGAGGCGCGCGCTGCGCACGTCCCGCTCTGTCCCCGGCGGCCCTGCGGGACGTAGCGGGACGGGAAATGTTTGGTTGTCCCCGCGCTAGCTCCTGGCGGACCTGGGGAGGGGTGGGTGTCCAGAGATCATGGCTCCGGCGGCGTCCAGGCTGTCTTATGAGGCCGGGCTCGCGTCGCTGCCTCGGCGGGCGCTCTCCCAGTACCTGCGCCTCCTGCGGCTCTACCCGGTGCTCACTAAGGCGGCCACCAGGTGGGCGCGGGCCGGGCGGGGCCGGGCGGACGCGGCCAGAGAACCTGCTCGGAGCCGCCTCGCTTAGGGGATTGAGTGCAGAAGGCTCCCGCCGGCCTAGAACAGACTTCTAGAGACCTGGAGCCCACCCGGGGCTCCGCACTGTCATTCGCAGGCGCTCCCGCTGAACACCCGAGTACAGGATAGGGGAGAGCCCAGAATCTGGGGGGGCTGGGGCACTCCTGCAGACGCGTCCCCGCGGCGACGGATCGGGGGCAGGGGTGGGGGTCTACGTCAGCCAGAGAGCTCTAAGGGCATGGGGATCAGATTTGTGTGGGCAAAGCGCCTCGGAGCCGCTAGGCAGCCCCGCCCTTTGACCTGCACCTCGACCCTGTTTATGAGACAGCTCCCTTCTCATTACTTCCAGCGAAGTGATTTTACAAACTTGTTCCCTTTTATTAGTTCAGCATTTTATAAACATGCACAACGTGGTTCCTGTGTGCCCAGCATCCTCAGTGTTTGTTTAGAAAGGTGGCTTAGGCGCCTACTGCCATGGAGCTGGCATTCTAGTGAAGAGCTAGACAAAAAGCAGGTAAATATATAACACAAGGAACTTAATTCAAGGAGGCGACATTTGAACAGAAGCTGAAGGGACGCAAATACTCTTTGGCAGCGGGTACAGCGTGTGCAAAGGTCTGGAGGGAGCGGCCAGCTGATGGAGTGGAAGTTGAACAGCGAGCAACGGGAAGGATGAGAAGTAGTATCCAGGAATCAGATCAAGGTCTTTATTGTCCACACTGAGACCTTTGATATTTTAGCTGAGAACTGCTCAAAGGGCAGCTATAGACCAAGCCTTGGAGCGACTGGGCCTGTTTCTGCCTTTACATTGAAATTTGTTACTGTGATAATTGCAGATTCACATGCAGTTATAAGTAATGCAGAGAGATCCCTTGTACACTTGCCCAGTTTCCTTCATCAGTAACATTTTGTAAAACAAATACAGTATCACAACCAGAACACTGAAGTGGGTACAGACCACAGATGGTACTCAGATGTCTTGCACTTGCCATGTGTGTGTGTGTGTGTGTGTGTGTGTGTGTTTTCAGTGCTCTTGTATGACGTGCAGGTTTTATCCACCAGTAGGGTCAAAACACTGAAAATTTTCATCATAAGTTTTCCTCCCACACATGGTGACCTTTGCAGAATTACAGTGTAATGTCACCACCGAGATACAGACCCTGAACTGACACTGTCCACGGAATGGAGATCCTGTTGTGCTCCCACGTGTGTGTGTGTGTGTGTGTGTGTGTGTGTCCTGCAGTCTCCTTTGACCCAGGGTCCTTGCACTGCTGCCTTATGACGATTTGTCCATGCATCTCCAGCAGGACCTCAGAACAGCCCTGCTGACTCCATGCGGGAACAGAGCCTGCGAGCTGCTGCTCCTGTTTTCTTACCACCTGTCTGTCCACAGTGGCATCTTATCAGCACTTGGGAATGTCCTGGCCCAGATGATTAAGAAGAGGAAAAAAGAAAACCGCTCTCAAAAGCTAGACGGCAATGGGCCTCTCACATATGCCATTTACGGGTGAGTTTCATAACGGGGCTGGCTTGCCCAGTGGCAGACTGAGCGCAGTAAAGCTAAGGTATCAAGTTTCTGGAGTAATCTAATTTGGAAAAATAATGTTTAAAAGCATTGAAGTAATCATGGGGAAAATCAGAGCAGCGGATGTTCACTTATTTTCTAGTTTTATATGGTTATTTTGAATTTCATGGGTGGCAGTGGTCTCTTCATTGGGCTGAGGGAACTAAGAGCAGATAACACACCTGAATCTAAGTCAGACTTCAACACCGAAAATGAAGACAGACTCAGACATGGCCAGTTAGCTATTTTCATAGCATGAACATCCAGAAAAATACATCTGAAAAACGCCCAGTTCCTGAACCATTTATTGAGCTGCAAAAGCCCAGAGATTCAGGAGCCTTACCAACTAAATTCACCTTGAGTTCTCTGGCCAATAGTAGTATCTGTATAGATGGATTATTTTGAAGTCTTTTGCAATAAGTGATTTTCTTCTCCAATTCAAAATTCACAAATATCATTCTTGTAAGTACTGTTAACTTTAGTCTATGGCCATACCATCCTGAACACGGCAGATCTCACCTGTAAGTACCATTAACTTTATTCACAGCTTTTTCCAAAATGTATTTAAAACTGTAATTTCCCAGCCCCCAGAGAGGGGGAGTGTGTCAGAATCCCTTCAGGGGTCTTACCCACCAGTTTTCCATCAAGAGGCTGCTGTCCTCTGGTAGGGTGGGAAGGACCACTGGGAACCAGTTGTTTGAAGAATTTCAGTGTCAGAAGTTGGAAGACGCCTGGGTGCCGGCCCATCTTTTTATTGCTGAATTTTATGGTGCGAGGTGTGTGTCTGGGTCCAGGTCTCCGTGTACTTTGCAGTGAAGGGCAGCAGTGCAGACAAGCTGGTGTACAGCCCCAGGGTTCTCCTGGCTAATTACCTGGGGGGCGTCTCCTTTTCTTTATCACCGAGCACCTGCTGAGCCAGGCCCTGCAGACACAGCAGTGAACAAGCAGACAGATCCTGTCCTGTGACAGTGTGACGGTTTTACCTTCTGGGGGTGAAGAGAGGGCACTCTGTAGTTAAACAAATCAGATCATGACAGGCAGTGACACACGCTATGAAGAAAACGAAGTGGGGCCTGGGATAGAGGGTGGTGGAGACAGCAGTGGGCTCGTTATGGAGAACAAGCAGGAAAGGACTCTCCCAGCAGACGGTGCTGAGGAGATGGACATGGGAAGATGGTGCAGATCCAAGGCAGGAAGGAGTCTGATCCATCAGAGGCAAAAAAAGAATGCTTGAAGTCCAGTCAAAACCAGCACACTTTGTAGAGGGACTGCAGCTCTGTGTGGTCAGGGCAGGCAGGGTTGGGACCTGGTGTTTGGGGGTGAGCCCAGGCCCCAGAAGGCGCTCCAGCTCACCCGCTGCGGGCCTCAGGTTCTTCTTCACAGGGCCACTGAGTCACTTCCTCTACCTCTTCATGGAGCACTGGATCCCTCCCGAGGTCCCCTGGGCAGGGGTCAAGAGGCTCCTCCTGGACCGCCTTATCTTTGCACCGGCCTTCCTGTTGTCGTTCTTCCTCATCATGAACTTCCTGGAGGTTGGTCTCCATTGCCCCGCTACCACAGTTCCTCCCTAGGCGAAGGGGCTCTTAACCTGGTGTCGGGGTGGAAGCCTGCGGGTCTGCGAACTTGTCACGACACTCGAATGAAGATCCCCGTTTTCCTTTGTGAACGTTGGGAAACAGAGCACAGCCGTGTGCGCAGGGCCCGTGGGTCCGCAGTGGAAATCACAGACCCGTCAGATGTCCCTGAATGTCACTTATGCTCCTCCGTCCTCGAACCTGCTGTTAGGTCTTGTCTCTGAGAGTGTTAATAGAGCACGTATTACTAGTTGATAAGGAAACTTTTCCGAGTACTTTGGTAGCTATATTCAGTGTAATCGTTTCCTCTGTAGCCCTGGATATCTTATACACTGCCAAACATGATTCTGAAAACTGGGTCCATGTGCTTTGCCGGACTGCCAAAGAGACCATGGCCCAGGAGTTTCAGACCCCAAGGGCGTAGCAGAAGCCTGAGCCACCTCAGTGCCTGGGCCTCCTAAGCGCTCTGAAGAAGCTGACTCAGCAGCACAGAGGTGCGGTCCTGGGCCCCACGTGGGAGGTCTGCGCTCCCCGGCCTTGTGCCAGGCTCCGCCCACTTCGCTGGCGCCTCCACCCCCGCCTCCTGCTCTCTGTCCAAGGTGTGTCATGCTCTGCCTTGAAATTTGTTCCAGGCACAGAGCGGCAAGTCTTCTCATGCAGATTGTATTTTGGAACAGTATCTCAAGTTTTTGTTACTGAGAATCCCCCTTGTTGTGTCAAGTGGCCCAGGGGAAAGGTGGAAAGATGTGTAGATGTCACTGTGATTGCTAGTAAGTCCCCGAGAGTAAAAAGTCCTTAGGAGGTCTGAGCCGAGGCAGCAACGGGTGCCCACGTTGGAGGCGAGGGCTCCACGGCTCTTTCTGTTTATTTCCTTCTAAATCTCAGGGAAAGATATTTTCGTGAGAAAGCAGAAATCCTGGGCCTGTGTCAGGTGTTACCAAAGTGCATAAAGTGCCCTGCACATAAATGACACTTGGTGGGACACGCTAGATGACTCTCACACTCCAGCCACGGCAGCTGGCACTGTTCTGGTCACAGACACCATGGGACAGCATCCTACCTGATGCCTGTCCCTTGTATGAGGAGGCCTCCTGTTTGGTTAGTTCCTGGAACTGTCTGAAAAGGCCACCCTCCGTCCTCCCTGCAGTGATGCAGAACAGCACCCACTGACACTCCCTGAGCACCTGCCTGGTCCCAGGCTCTGCCTCCGGCGCATCCTGCCGCTGGGGCGGCCGCGGCCCACAGGGTGCACAGCTGGCCTCCTGGGTCCCTGTGACTTGAGTCCTGAGTCAGAATCAGACCCAGCCTCTGTGACTCCTATGCTCTTAACCCTCACAGCTTTTCCCTCTGCGAGGGGAACACTCCTGGCAGCTGTGATTGTAGTTTCCTTGTAAATAACTTGCAATCTGATGGGTGAAAAATAGTTTACCTTACACCTGCTTATGAAGTAGAAGGCCTTCCTTACGCTCATCTGTGTTCCGTGAGCCTCGCTTGTTTTCTGTCAGCGTGCTTGCTTTCTCCTACTGCTTTGTATGTTTGTGTGTGTTAAGGACATCGATCCTGTGCCAAATACGAGCTGCAGACATTTCCCCCATTTTTTAGGTGTCTGCCTTTCAACTTAATACAGTTAACATTTTTGAGTTACAAGTGAAGTTTTTTATAGTGTCTTTCTTTCCCCATAGAGTTTTATATATATTTTAAAACTCATGTCCACTCCACCACTTTTTAAAAAAAGATTTTATTTATTTTTAGAGAGAGGGGAAGGGAAGGAGAAAGAGAAACATCCGTGTGCGGTTGCCTCTGTGCGCCCCCCACTGGGGACCCGGCCTGCAACCCAGACATGTGCCCTGACTGGGAATCGAACCTGCAATCCTTTGTTTCACAGGTCAGCGCTCAATCCACTGAGCCACACCAGCCATGGCCCCATATAGGAGTTTTAAAAATCCAGGTGTTCAGATCTGTCATTGTTTCCTTTGTGGGCTTCCTTAGAGGAAGATATGGGAAATATTCTACTCTTATGACTTTGTACATTTTGATAAAGAAAAAGGAAATATGCTGTACTTGACTATTCTAATGGTTTTATTTTTATGTACTGTGGGATAAATGCTTCTGTCTTGGTGTTTTCCACTTAAATAGCAAATTGTCTCATTACTAGTTATTTAACAATTCCTGGTGTTTTGAAACATCACATTCCTGTGTGTTTAGGGCATTACTCTGTTCTTTTGATGGACTCTATTCCTTTCCACTGTCTTTTTTTCTTTTTGGCTGTTGCTAGATGACTCATCACCATATTTTATGCCATTTTAAATCTGTGGTAACCTAGGCCTTCTCAAAGTGGCTATTATGCACCTATCCTTCCAGAAGATATTTAGGATCAACTTATTGGGGTACATTAAAAAAAACTGACAAGTTTTGGTAGGGAATGTGTCGACTTTGGAGATTATTTTCTAAAGAACAGACCGCGGAGCCCTGAGGAGCAGGTGCTGGGCGCCCAGCGCCACGGGACAGCCATCGGGGCGTGGACTGACGTCCCTCCTGGGAGGGTGGGCGTCCAGTTGCCTCGCTCCTGACACGCACGTGTGCTGTCTGCCGCTAAATGGAGCAAAGTCTACACTTTAAAAAGCCCTCCGTGTTAGGGTGTGAGGCCCCCCAGACCCTGGTGCCCCGGCCTTAGCCCGAGGGCAGTGGGGCTTGCTCACCGCCTGCGTTTCCCTCCTTCCCAGGGCGGAGACCCGGCCGCGGGCGCCGCCAAGGTGAGGAGCGCCTTCTGGCCGGCGCTGCAGACCAACTGGCGCATCTGGACCCCGGTGCAGTTCATCAACATCAACTACGTCCCGTTGCAGGTGAGGGTGCCCGTACGCGCGCGCGGCCGCGGGCATTCGCTCTCCTTCAGCCTTTTTGTTGCCCCTCGCAACCACCTGTGTTTTCTCTCGGCGTCACTCAGGTTCCTGACTCTACCCGGAACCCTTAAGATCCGGATTTGGGGGCAAAGCCCGTGGCGGGTGCCCACCTGCGTGCACTCATCACGCAAACGTTTATTGAAAGCCCGGGTCCGGGCAGCGCTCGAGTTTCCCTGAGGCGGGGCCTCACCGCAGTGACGTCAGAATCACCCCTGGTGGGCGCGGTACCGCACAAACTCGAACGCCTGCCGGTGTGGCCCCACCTCCCCACCGCGGGTGCTTGCCAAGTGCAGCCGGTGGTCAGTGGCTCCCAAGGCCACACTGGGGGTGAGCATCTGCTAGGACGGCCCAGCCAGGTTGATTACAGCCGCACAGCAACCGACCGTGGTCCTAGGAATCCACTGCAGACTTTCTACGCGCGCGCGCGCCCCGCCCATCTAGCTGGTCACACCTGGCGAGCTCTCGCTTACCGACAAAATGTACCAACACCGAGGCCATGGTTCTGCTCAGGAATGCCCATCAGAGACTCAGCATCTGGGGTTTTTATTGGGGGCCGGTCAGGCGGGAAGCTCTGCAGACCACGAGGCCAGGCTCCAGAGGAGGCAGGCGGTCAGCATAAGCCACCCTGCTTTTGCAAGCAGAGTAGGCACTGGGGGCCATTCTTATTAGCTGGGCAAAGGTGGGGCCCCTCCTGAAATCCCAGTTCCCAGGACAGCAGCCTCGGGCCAGTGTGCTGCCGCTCTTCTGCAGCCGTTTGCTTAGCCTACTTGAAGTGCCTGGGGAAGCCCAGTTTCCATCCGCTTTAGAGAGGAGAGTAGGGCAGATCCCTCTTGGGAAAGAGCTACACTGAAAGGATGGGAGGCGGTGGGAGGAACAGGCTCGGCCACGCCCACCCCCAGGAATTCAGTAGCAGAAACCCCAGGGGAGGCTGCAGGAGAGACAACCACAGCAGATGCTACACTGGAATGAAAGGTGGTTCACTTCCCTGGGCTTCAACAATGACCCTTACAGGTGACCTTCCCAGGAGCAACTTTAGGGCCCCCCCCCCCCGGGGGGGCTGAAGCCAGACTGCTGTGAATTGAGGAGGGGGGGGTGAAACAGTGGCTGTGATAGGTGGGAGAGGGTGGGGAGGAGGCTGTGAAGCTAGAAGCTAGTGTCTTACAGAGATGTGCACAGGCTGCCCCTAATGGGAAGGGAGGGACCGGGTATCCGCACAGAGGCACTTTATGACCAGAGATGAGAGGGGGTGACAGTTGCTGGGGACCTCTCTCCACGCCTTTTTTCTTCTGGGAGGGCAGAGGGCGGGTTGGGGCCAGAATGGGAGGGTAAAGGCATAAACCTGAGAATGGGAGGGAGTGCGTTGGCCGCGGGAGCCCGGGAGGGTGAGGACCACCACGTGCACAGGCCTTGGGGCTTGGGGAGGAGAGAGGTAGTGGGAGTCAAGGTCTTTCCGAGGGTGCAACCAGGGGATAGGAGGTAATGAAACGAGGCCTTGGCCATGGGGTGTGAGGTGTACGGAGAAGGTACGGACGTGGAAGACAGGGTGGCCGGGCTCATGGAAGGATCTACGGTCACCAAAGGACAGGCTAGAAAGTCAAATCTTTGCAAGTAGTAGGGACAGAAAGCTGTGTGGCTGGGGTTTCCATTCTAGGTGGATGCAGATGGATGTTTAAGGGGCAGTGGGTTGTTCAACAAATGTTTATTGAGCACCTGCTCTATGGCCCACTGCTGTACCTGGGGAACAGCGATTAAAGAGAGAGCAGACTGCTGCTTCCACGGAGCTCATGTGCCAGGCAGACTCCCTGACTAGAGGTGATTTCAGGTGGGGGTCTGCCCAGAAGACCACTGTGGCAGGCAGTGGGACTGTGACAGCTCAGGGTGAAGAGCAGGGCATGCAGGGGATCAGAGGGGACAGTCTTGAGGTGACAGAGGCTGAGCCAGGACCTGAAGCTGAAGTGCTCGTGAGGGTAAGGGACAGGTACAGTGAGATTTCCTTGCTGGCTTGTGAGCCTCATGAGGCAGGAGCTCTGTGTCCTCTTCCTCTCCCTCCGCACAGTGCTCGGCACAGAGGAGAAGCCAGCAGACACAGCAGCAAGTGGCTGGACCCACCAGCGAGTGGGCTCCACTCCAGGGGACTGGTGTCTAGTAAGTGTCGTCAGGGCCTTGCACTTACTCGGGCCTGTGTTCTCTCTGGCAGTTCCGGGTACTTTTCGCCAACCTGGTGGCGGTGTTCTGGTATGCCTACCTGGCCTCCCTGGGGAAGTGAGGACGGCCGGAGAGGGTGTCCGTGCACTGCTGAGCTGAGTGTGGGCAGCGCTCGCCTGCCCGGGGTGAGTGCAGAAACAGCCTGGTCACAACATGCCTGACGCCAGATCCTGTGATTCAACGTGCCTTAAAGTGATGGAGAATCAGCATCTCTTAATGTTAGAATCTTGTGCTTTAAAAAGGCAGTAGCTGAATTCAGGTGGTGCTGCCTAGAAACTTAAAACACAGTCATGATGATTTCACGAGCCATCTTGGACTAAATTAGATCATAATAAATTCTAGTGTAGCTTTTTCTGTGGCGATTTTAATTTCTCACAGTGATTGTTGTGGCTTTGGAACAAATGCATGGTCTGAGGGCTGCCCTCATGTCTTTTTTACTTTCGAGAGAAATCATGGTAAAATATACAATACTACTGTGTAGGGAACCGATTCACATGGTGTGGAAATGTAGCTCAGCCCTCATGTGGAAAACCAGTGGGGTGCAAGTCAGCACACAGGACCACCCCCAGGGACAGGTTTTCCCATGGGGAGTCAGGCCTGCATTGTACCTAGGCTGCTATGAGACTTTCTTTTGCTAAAACTCCCTCACCCTGAATTGAGGCACCAAGTGCTTACTGCAGCTTCCTAGAATCTGAGCTAAACCTCCCAAGTAAGGAGTGTGACTGGTTCAACCACTTTTCTCCTTGGTCTGCAGCATCCTTCTCTGTGAAGTAATTAGCAGCATTCTTTCCTTTGTTATCTGTAAAAGGTAGTCCCCTGCAGTGAACCTGTGCATGGTAAATGAGGACCACCCCCCATGCCATGTACCCAGAGAAGCAATGAAAGCCTGTCCAGGCAGGGACTGAGCTCTCTGGCCCTCTCATCCTCTCTCAGAGAGTGGCCATGCCGCCCCTTTTTCTCCATAGGACTTCTGTAGTCCGTATTTGTTCACGAGCAGCCACAACACACATGGACCCTGCCGGCCAGGATCTGCCACACTACTGCTTAGCTACCAGGCACCAGAGGAAAAGGCCCTTCTAAACCAAGACTTTCCTGGAGGTTCTGAGAGGCTGTGTGAGAATCGGCTGACCTGCAGCCGATTTCCTGTTGCTTGGTGACAATAACCCTCCCACCCTGTTATCACTCAGAACCTTCTTTCTTGACCGGACCCCACCCTGGTATCATGGATACAACATCCCTTGGCAACCTGCCTGGGCTGCTGTGGCTCAGTGGTTTGAGCTGCAGCTTACAAACCAAAGGGTTCGCCACTTGGACTCCCAGTCAGGGCGTGTGCCTGGGTTGTGGGCCGGGTGCGCACAAGGCAACCACCCATCAATGTTTCTCTTCCTCTTTCTCCCCCTCTCTCTAAAAGTAAGTAAAATCTTTCAAAAAATCCCTTGGGAAGCTTGAAATTTACTTCTGTCCCATGTGCTGTTTCTATTTAATCAGAGCTTGTTTTTCCTTGTTTAGGTCTTTGTCTTTCTCAGTCAGGATTTCCTCAGATGTGTTATCTTTGTGCATCAGTGTTTGAGTCAAAGCCACTCAAGAAGTCTTTGGGAACTCAGTGTGAATGGGCTGCACTTGTCAAATGTCACTGTTTGTGGGCTGGCCCACTTTGGCTGGGAATCACTAGTTCTCAGTAACTGAGGTCTCTTCTCTTGGGCTGGTCAGTTTCCCCAGAGAGGAAGCCTTTCATTTCTTACCTGGGGGAAGGATGGTGTTTGTAGTGGAGCAGGGAATAAGCCTAGTGGCCAACTAACTGCAGGAAAGGGATGAGACGTCCTATTAGTACATAGTCTTCGGATAATGTCACAGTTATTACTGCATACCAGTCTCAGCTGCCTGGTGTCTCACACCCAGTCCTTCTGGTTCAAATCCTCTGGGATGAAATTTCTCTAGTTTTCTGCCATAAAGGAGGTACAGCACTCACCTGAATGCATAGGTGATGGAGGGGAGGTAGAGGTAGCCCTCGTTTATAGCCCCATCCACCATCCTTCGGGTTCCTGCAGTAGGGGGAGGGGGAGATAATTCCTGTACCTCCCTGAACTTTCTGGACTCACTCATGAGCTTGCTTCCTGGGTTCCGTGAGTACAGGCAACTGGTGATTTATCTTCCCAGGTCAACTGGCTTGATTTCCAGCTTCCAAAATTTTGTCAACTGATTTATTCTTTTTTGTGGACTCAGATACGTCTTTGTGTATTTATCTTTTTCTTTTTAAATCTTTTTACCTTTGGTTTAGTGAGCAACCTTCTAGGAGGAGACATAAATGTATGCGTTCAAGACACCACATTTAAAGTAAGATCTGGGTAGTTCGTGGTTCCAAAATCCAAAGTGTTTTTTTAAAAACATGTGCCTGGACATGTGCCATGACTGGGAATGGAACAGGCGACCACAGGCCAGCGCTCAATCCACCGAGCCACACCAAACAGGGCCAAAGTGTTTTTAAATATATAAACCAGAGCACATCACTTCCCAACTTAAAAACCTACATAGGTGGGTGACCCAGTAAGTCCACTTCTAGGTGTGCCCGCAAAAAAACTGAAATCGGGGACTCGAAGAGATCTGCCCGCCCACGTTCACAGCAGCATCGCCACAACTGGCAGGAGGTGGAAAGCCCAAGTGTCCATGGAAGCCTGCATGGGTAAGAAGTGATCTACCACACAGTGGAATTTATTGAGTCTTATAATGTAAGGGAATTCTGACTCCTGCTCTAACGTGGATAAATCTTGAGGACGTTACGTTCAGTGAAATAAGCTTGTCCCCAGTAGAATAAATACTCTCTGATTTCACTTACACGCGGTGCCTAGTCACTGCGAGGAGACTGAGAGGAGACTTGCAGGGAGTGTTGCACGTGGCAGCGTCAGTTGGGAAGACCAGAGTCGTGGGGACATAGGAAGGTGACGACCGCACGGTGCGAACGGGCTTAATGCCTCTGAGCCGCGCGCTTGTACGTGGGGTTAAGACTGTAACCTCATGTGTCCATTTTACTGCAGTACGATCAAAACTAGACCTGCGGAGGTGTCACAGTTCACTAAACTGAATTCTAATTTCTTATCTCCGAGGCCGCCTCTGCCACCCTCCCCTCGGGCTCCCGCGGCGTGGTCAGCCCAGTTCCGTGGTGTCCCGGGTGCTGGGCGAGCTCAGGGCTCCCGTCGCGCCCCTCAGGTGGCACCGCGTGAACACTCGCGCTCCAAGGCACCAGTGATATGCACTCGCACCTTGCGCAGAAACCGGGGGAAAGGCTCACGGGACCACCACATACCGACTTGCCGCGTCTGGTTCCGGAAGTTAGCAGTCCTCTACGCCCCAGGAGGCGGGACTTCCGCCCCACCGGAAGCGGACGTCCGCCGCAGCGTGTAGCCCGCGGCCCGCGGTCCGCGCCCTTGAGCGCTTGCGCGGAGCTGAGCAGGACCGCTCGGCATGGCGTTCCGGCAGGCGCTGCAGCTGGCGGCCTGCGGCCTGGCTGGGGGCTCGGCCGCCGTGCTCTTCTCCGCTGTGGCGGTGGGGAAGCCCCGTGCGGGCGGGGACGCGGAACCGCGCGTGGTCGAGTCGCCGGCGTGGGCCGGGGTCGCACGTCCCGGACCCGGCGTCTGGGACCCCAACTGGGACAGGTGCGGGGCCGGCGGGTGGGATAGGGTGCGGGGCGGCGGGTCCTCCACGCCTCCTCGTCGCCCCGCTCCGTCTGATGTGGTCGGTTTGGTAGAAGGAGTCGGGCTTCGTGCGGGGTCTCTCTGGCTGTGATGTGGGTGACCCCTGCCCCCGCCAAGCCCCCTCCTCTGCCCAGAGGGTACAGAGGAGAGAGTACACGGAGGCTGGGACAGTGGTCGTTTTCAGTTCCAGGCGGAGGGCCTGTCCCGGTTGTTTCCGACCTCGGGTTGGATGTGGCGCGTTGGTCGTTTCCTAGGCGCTAAGAGGGTGTGAGGGTGTGGGTGCGCGGGGCGGGGGCGCGCCGGGCCCTCCGTTGTGCCCCGACCCCAGCCATATGTCCTCATGAGTGCTTAAAAGGTAGCTTCTGGGATCAGGAAACAATTTTTAGTTTCGTTTAATGTTAAATTTTAAAACCAAAGCAGTGCAGATGCTTAAGTATTTATGTGCTGTTAGTGTTTGTGATACATTGGATCGAATAAAGTGAGTTTCACCCGTTTCTTCCTATTCTCTACATGTCCCTGCTTGGAAGTTTGTCACCGCCGCTGCAGGTGTTGTGTTTCTCTGGGACAAACCTTCCTGGCTCCCGTTGGACAGTTTGCTGGGAGAGGGGCACAGAACTAACACACTCTTAGCCTGGTTGTATCAGGAACGAAATGGAGATTGTTCTTTAACCTTTATTTTTTAAAAGATAAAATTACTTTTGAGTAATTTTAGATTTGCAGGGAAATTGCAGACATGACAGTTCCTGTGTACCCCACACCTAGTTTCTTCTATTAGTGTGGCACGTGTGTCTTGACCAATGATGTCCATACTTTATGGAGATTAATTCAGGTTTTACCTTCCTGGGTCCCCCGTGACAGTCGGCCCTCGTGTCTCCTTGGGCTCCTTTTTGCTGTGACAGTTTCTCACTGTTTTTGATGACCATGACAGTATGTAGAATGTCCCTCGATTGACATGTCTGTTTCATGTGATTAGAGCAGGCTGTCTTCTTGTTTTTAGATATCAGGACAGTCTTCCCAATGTCTTAGGCCTTTGTAAGAAAACAGGTTTCTTCTGAGGCTGAAGCCTACATCCACGGAAGGGGTCTGTCCCCGCTGGGCGGTTTCAGGTCTGCAGCCTCTCCCTGGGAGCCTCATCCAGTGCGGGCTGCCTGTCTGGCTGCAGCCCCCCGGGTGTCTTTTCTGGCTCAGCCCTGGTGCCCAGGCCCCTGCCATTGCAGCCTCTCAGCCTGGTTGTATTGCAGGCACCGTGGTTTCGCACAGCCCAGGCAGAGCCCTCGAGTCACCACTGCTGCCCCAGAACTTACTCCAGCCGAGTACGCTCTTGTCCCCCCTCTGCCAGTGTCACAGACATTCAGTTCTGTGAGCCGACAGGCATGCCTGCCGTCATGTGTCACTTCTCAGCTTTGCTGACATGTCCCTTCCCCTCCCATCAGCTCCTAACATCCCAGGTGCCAACCATAGTTTCCATGATAAGGGAAACCTTCCCTCCCTCCCATCCCACGTACTACTGAGTGTTTAAAGTGTGCTTCAATTTTATTTCATTTTCGTTATTTTGAATTAAGTAGCCACGTGGTTAGTGGCTGCTATTGGGTAGCACAGTTTCAAACTTGGCCTCTGACTGTTCAGCAAGCTCCTTCAGCCACCCTCCCACAGCCACTCCTGTCATCTGGCCTTGCTTG